CATTTCTGCTTCCTGTGCCCCAGGCCTGAATGTCTTCCTTCCAGCTGACTAAAACCAGCTGCCTATGGTCTCGCTCCCTCCTGGCGTCCACAGCTCTCTCTTTACAACCCTGCTGTGATTTGGACACAGCTGCCACCACCCCTCTTTGTCCTATTTTATTGGGTGAAAGGACCCACGTCCCTGAGTCTTGTCTCAGAGACCGAGGTCACTGGCCTGAACACAGGTTTTCCCTTCTGACTGGCCAGTCCTCCTCCCTCCTGGAAGCTACTGCTGCTTCTGGCCTGGCTCCTTTCTGGGCTCAGGGCTTCCTGGCACAGGTTTCCAACATTTCTGTGACCAGGTGTTTGGTGATACCCATGGACTCCTCTCTAAGCAAGGCCTTGACATCTGCGAGATAAATACTCAGGCTCACAAAGGACTGATGATATTGATCAACACTATAATAATACCTTTTTAAGATTTATTTAATGTTTTTTGCATACAGAACTAGGATACAGATCAGAGTTGCACGGACAGTGAGAGGATTCACCAGAGATAGAGTGGGGAGCAGAACAGGCTGGCTGGCAAAGTACACTGCTGAGGGGAGCAGCCGTCAGACAGGCTACATCTGCCGCACCATGTGGTCACCTTCAGGGCAGGGATTGAACTCATGCTGAAGCGGCTTTAGCTACTTAGTGCTGTGTTTTAACCTACTGTGCAACCAGGGAGGGCCCTCAAATTATTTTTTTTAAGATTTATTTATTTATGCATGGAAGACCTGGGGTACAGGCAAGAGGAGTGAGGGATGAGAAGACTCACCAGAGGCAGAGTGGGGAGTAGCACAGGTGGATCAGGACCCATCCTGGTGGCACAATCAGCACATTCCTGGTGGGTTAATGCTGAAGTGCAGCACACAAAGCTAGCCGTAACCACTTCAGCATAAGTCTGATCCCTGGCCAGGCAGGTGACTCAAATGGTACAGCAGACCTCTCCTATCTTGCCCACTGCTCCCCTCAGCAGTGTTCTTTGTCAAACTGGCTGTTCTCTCCACTCTGTCTCTAGGAATCCTTTCACATCCCTGAACTGCTGGCTTATACCCCATTTCTATAAGCATAAATAAATAAATCTTTACACAAAAAAAAAAAGAACAGGTGGATCTACTGATATACACTGCTGAGGGGAGCAGTAGACACACAGGAGAGGTCTGTTGCACCATGTGGGTCACCTCCACCACCTGGGTCACCTCCCTGGCTGGAGCTCGGACTCATGCTGCAGTGGCTGCTGATAGCTTAATAATACTGAGACTTTAACTCCTGTGCCACCAGGGCGGCCCCAGTCAAAATAGTGTGTGATTTGAGAAAGGGTCCTTTATTAGCTCATTACATAATAACGCCGAGTAGCGAGTGTAATGGTCGACCTACACACCTGTAAGTAGCCATGAGGCAATAGCATTCTGCATAGCGCTTAAGGTGACATGAAACATGTGGGACCCTATTGGTGATAGAATCACAGAACTGCTGGCACTTCCGATGCTGGGACTTCTGCTTTTGCGGTTGAAGGAAATGCTGCATCTCAGTTAGACGGCAGTGAAAATAAAAATGTGTTCATCATCTCACTTCCCAG